TAGGAAGGCTGACTGACAGTTGACAGGAGGGAAGGGAGAAAAAAGCAACAGGAAGGTTGTGCTCATAAAAACTAGCGTCGTACTTTTCCTTAGGACGTGCTGGGGACTGATGGTTGTCCTGTTGCGATTAGTGGGGCTCTGCCTACATCAAGAAGTAGCACAGTCTCTAAGGCCACCATCTGTGGAAGGAACTTACTCTCCAAAAGAAGCAAGCAAGCACATTTATTTGCAGATGTTTCATCACGTGTAGGGGTGGCTTTTTGTGTGTTGGTCTGCAGTTGTGGTATTTGTTGAAGCTGTACATCGCCACAAATTATACACAGCTTAAGCTGACACCACTAAGCAAAATATTTCTATATCCTACTTCAGCTCTGTTTGCTGTTTTGTAACAATGTCTACATTATTTGACCATTAGAGAAACAGATTTCCTTTAAACTGGGAAGAAAAACTGAGGGTCCCACAGTGTCTGAAAGACACTGTCAATATAAATCCTCCCTCGAACTCTTTCGCTAAACAATATCTCAGTCCATTTTAAACCTGTTTGAAGCAGGAGCTTAAACTAAAGCCTCACTTTCATGTTGCATAGCAGTTACATTACCGCATGTAGACAGCCTGCTGAAATCAATGATACTGCGCTGTTTGGGGGCACTAAGAGCGGGGGCGGGAAGGGAAGAGCCCTTCATGACGGCTATTCTGAGGTTCTGTTTATTCATCAAATCCTGCCAACTGTGTGTTGAGGCACTAGCAGGTTTACTGTTTGCTTCTGACGTTCCGTGTCACTTGGAGGTGGGTTTGGGGTTTTTTGTAGTTTAGGTTTGGGATCAGGGTTTTTGTTTGTCTTTTGGAACAAGAGACCACTGTTAGTCACCTGGTTGACAGAATCAGCACTGCTATAATTGCAGCAGTCGTATGAACAGCTCTATTTTAGCCTGAGTGCTAACTGTAGCTTCATTTCCCAGACCGCTGCTTAGGTGTGCAGGGGAATATTAGGTGACCTTGCTACTGTTGAAACTCCTCACAGCACTGAGTCGGTTGGTTTTGCAGCATATACCCTTCTACTGTCCTTCGCGCTTGAAAAAGCGAAAATCTTTGATAAAACCGAAGGGCGAGGAGGGGGTGTGTGTTGTACAAGAAAGCGGACTTTCAAGTACTGGTAACTTTATGGAGGGAGGGAAGCTTAAGGGCATATTTATGTGCTGCAGTTCATGCCTTTGAAAATCTTATATGATCATTAAAAGGGTAGGGTGAAGACTTTGATATATTGTGTTTTGAGAACTGGAGTACTTTATAGTTTCATTTAAACTAACTGCTATTTTTAGGAGTCAAGCTTTTTTTGTGCCCAAAGTAGCATCCTGTTTTTTTCCCCTTGTCAAATAAGGCTATAACAATCTAAAGTATTAACATAAATGAAAGCTCTGAAGAAAGTAATGAAGATATTTTTGAAGCACTGGGATTAGTGTTTTTCTTTCATTTCAGTGACATGACTTTATTGTGCACACAGAAAAATACTTCTCTAATATTTTCGTTCTGATAGTTGCATTAAACATGAATTCCTGTTTTACAAGACTGACTTATTGCAAAATATTGAGGATATGGGATTGTGCTGCTTCTATACATTCTACTATGGCAAAATTCATATCAGGCTAAATGAAGGGAATCCAGTTTGTGTAATGGAAGCAAGGATGTAGCTTTTGGGATCAGTTTGGGATTCCAGAACTTACGGCATGTTACTGAAGCAGCGAGCTATATATATATATATATATATATATGTCACTTAATTTACAATCTTTACTTTCTAAGTCGTATGTAATTGTTTCAGCTGTAGCCAAATTCAGTGTACTTTAAGCTGCATTTGTCCTGCATTTCTTTCTTCAGTGAGATAAGGCATTTTGTTCAATGAGAAAATGTGACCAACCTTCCAATAGCTGATCTAGATTAAGTAATAATTAGATATAATTACTGTTCCTAGGGGGAAAGTAATTCTGCCTTATTGAAATTCTTTTATCTTCAATTAACCTACTCTGTTCTTACTGGAAATATTAAGTGAAGTGCCGGCTTGCTTTAGGCACTTCTTCCAAAGCTGCTAACATTTGTTTAATTTGCCACCACTGCTCAGTTTTTGTAGTCTAGTGAGCCCTGTGTATTTAGGTGGCCCCAGTAGGAAGGAGTGCCATACCTGAATAGCACTGACTTGCCGAACACCTTGTTAGAGCAGCTTTCCACACCGGTCGTCTGCTTCTGTATGGATCGATGAAGAGGGCTGGTGACCCGCTTTTCTGTCCTCTCCCTATACCTTGCATTAGGTTTCACAGGGTTGCGGGAGGGGAGGAGCGTGAATAATTTTTCTCTTTTTCTGCCTAGTGTCAAACTAGGCTTTATTACTTCCACTGCTTATGGGACATCTTGTGTTACTTTTGTTCCATTTTCAGACAGCAGCGATAACCTTGCCTGGCATTGACAGGTCTGATCTGTATGTGATGTGTAGATTATTTGAAACTCAGAGGCCGGACCCAGAGCTTTCTGGCAGAATGAGTGTCCAGGAGAGGAAAGGCTAGAGCACCAAGGACCCTGTCTAGCTCGGTTCTGGATTAGGTTCATTTGGATACAGCTTCTCATTAGGCAAACATACTCTCTTCCTGCTCTGACAAACTGTCTGTTGAATGTGCCTACGATTTTGACTATAAATATAAATCTAAAACTATTTTGAAGTGGTCAGCTGGTAAAGTGTGGGATAGAACTGGCTTCAGAACTGAAAGAGGTTTATGTTTAAGTTGCTCTTCCATTTTCCTGGGGGCTTTGATTTCACTTTAATGAACAGAATTCATTTTTTTATGCTCACAAACCTGTTAAGTTAGTCGGGTAGTCTTAACGTAATTCTCCTTCCTTCCCCTCTTCTTGTTTTCTCCCTGTAGTATGTCTTTCTATACAGACTAAATCTAACCCAGTATATTTCTGGATGTGGCTTGATCTGAAAAGTCTGGACTAGGTCTGCTCTTTTCTGGGGAGAGGAAGGAAAGAACTTTAAATAGACCTTTAAATAGGTGTTGATTTAGTACATTCATCCATACCCTGCTAGCTAACATTGCAATGCATTAACAAAGCCAGAAATTAAAGCAAAGTGTAAAGTTCAGTCTTAAGCAAAATTTATCCACAGACCTCAATGATCCTTAGCTTTAAGTAAATATAAGGAGCAAAATCTGTCTTCTGTTAATTCATGTCAACAAAATTTCCCACAACTGGCTTGTTTAAAGAAGAGAACATCAAATCCTCAGCATCTCGTTATCCAGATAGTCATTTGCGTCCTGTGTCTGCTAGCACAATTGTGAATTTTCAGCTGGAAAAGTGATGTGCTGATGTTTGGCAACTGCTAGTAATTGAATATGAGGGACCATTTATTTTAGGTTTGATGATACTTAGAATAAGGATGACTGTAAAAGCCCAATACATACATATCTAGTGCCTGAAAATTTGTAACTTTTGGCCTGACTTGCTCTTTTTGCCATTTAACTTGTTTTGATTTTCATAAATAGCTTCTCAGCCCAAAGTTTAGTATATCGTTTTTATTGGGAGAAAACGTCTTTCAGAAATGCACATTATACGCCATAATGTTTCTAATGGCCCTGTAAATTATGTACTAAGGCCATCTAGCTTAACAAAGCGTGACACCTGTAACCTTTTACATTTTTATCATCGGTTGTGCTGTTTTAATAGTGACTTCACATCAGAAAGCACTTATTATGTCAACAGGTTGTGTAAAGAAGATAGATTCTTTTTCTTCCTGTTTGCTAAACAAATATTCACTTGCTGGGGGTCCTACCTCAGTCTCTATCCTGCCTGCCACCTGACTTTTTGAAGTCTGCTTTGTAGAAGCTCGCAGGGGTGCCCTTTGGGACCAGATGACCTGGGAGGAAAAATCCTGCTACTGCAGTAACTGACAAAATAATGTTTTCCTTGTATTTTTGAGATGTTTTTCTTGCTAGACAATTTCAGTTTTAAGGACACAGCTGAGGCTTTTTTTTTTTTTTTTTTCTCTCCAGCCTTTGTTTGAGGTTCCTTTTTAAATTATGTGAAAATTTTTACTGCTTGGACACTGACATTTTGAGGGTGGTGACGTAGCCAAGGAAAGACAGTAATTTTGAGGTTTTCCCTTTCCAGAACTCTGTGCATCTTTAAGGTCTTGAGGGTAATAGCTCCTGATAGGCACTGGCTGCTGCTTTTGAAAAAGAAAAGAGAAAGCACTAAGGGAAGGGTTTTTTCTTTCCCTTCCCCCCCCCTTTTTTTTTTTTAATTATCACTTCCTGGTTTCCTTTTGAAATGCAGCTATTATCTGTTGGCTACAATAGAAGTGATATATTGGAAAGAGGTGTTAGACCTATGCAGAAGACTTACGCCTGATGTACGGAGACACGTACATCAGGAGTCTGGAGAGAGCTTAGTCTCTTGTATGGTGACCACCAGTTGAGTATTCAAAAGACAAAATATACTAAGGTAATTTCAGTCCATCTTGCATATCTCTGAGTGTGTCTTGTGCTCATCTGGTCATAAGCAAGAGTGTGGTCATTGCTATAAGTGACAGCTGGGGTATGTATATTACAGTCCTACATTCTGATGTTATTTAAAAAAAAAAAAAAAGTGTTCCTACAAAATTACTGCTGTTGACTCTAGAATGTATTCCACCTAACGGAAAACTTTACAAGCTGTAACTTGTTGACAAATCGAAAGTTGATCTGGATTTCTCCCAGATATGGTCTCCTTGGTTGACTGACATTGACAGCACTAAAACACTGGAGTAGAAGCTAATGGAATTAATTCACTGTGTACAGTTGGTGAATTTTATCCACCTGTTCTCTTCCCTTAAAATGGGTTGTGCAGTTTCACTTTGTGGTAGGGTTTTATGCTTTTGATGTGGGGGACAAATACGTGTCAGCCTGCTATCAGAAGACAAATCTGTACTGGAAACTAACTAGAGTCTTTTTTTTCTTCTTTCCTTTTAGTATTGGATGAATGAATATACTTCTTCCCTTGGAATTGGAGTGTTCCATTCAGGTATAGAGGTGTATGGCCGAGGTATGTACAAGAAAAACATAACTTAGTCTCTGTTCTGGTAATGCTGTTATTTAAACATTTCAGGTAGTGAGGGAAGTCTGGCTCCTGAAACCTGTTCATGAGTTTTCTCTTAAAGTTCTCATCTCTTCTGCCTCTGGACAAACCCTTGCATATGAATAATCTGGTAGTCATCTTGCATTCTCATATAAAGCTATGCAACTATGAAAAAGTGTGCAATCTATTCAGCTAGGCACAGAAAACTTTATTTTAGGTTTTTAAATACCTGTTGTTAAAACAAATGTATGCTTCGTGTAAGCATGGCTGAATCATGTTTCCTCGGTATTCTGCCAGCACTTAGTGCAGGGAGTTAATTTTTAACTACAGAAACAATAGTGTGTTGCAGACAGGCACCTAAAAGTGCATGATGCTCAGGAAAAACTGTCTATCCCTTATTGGTAGGTTGGTTTGTTTTAAAGAGACAGTTTCTTTAAAAGGCATCTCATGCATACTGTTTACAAAAGATACACTTGTGATAAATGCAGCAACACATACTGATTTTGCTAAACGGGTTGTACTTTGGGGGTGCAGCTTCCTGATCTGTTCAGGCCACTTTGAATCCCCATTGCTGCCAGATGGTGTTTCTGAGCGTGCTGTAGCACAGGCTCAGGTCTGAGGTGTTACTGCCTAGCAGTATGATGATGCTCTGAGGTGATGGTGTTGCTAAAAGTAGGCCATTTAAAGAAGAAAAATCTACCTCACTTCTTTTTTCAGAATGTGTTTGGAGGCGAGGGAAGCGGCAAAAGGTGTGGCGTGCGATCCAAAGACCACATTGCGCAAAGTTATCTTAAACTATAAATGTTTCGGCTACTATAATGGTCACATTGTAACTGGGTTTGCAAGTGTTACCAAAGCAACTAACTGACAAAATACAATGCTTATTGTTAAAACTTCTTTGCATTTCTTTTAATCCAGACGAGAAAGACCTGACCCTTAATAGTGCTGTGCCTGAAACCCAGTTCTTGAGTTGTGCCGAATACATGTGCCTCCCTTCCCGTTCAGATTGTAACAGCTTTCTCATAGAGCGGGTCATACGCCTGCTAGAACAATGACTTGCATTTTTCAAAGTACATCAAACTTTATTTATTAACCTGTTGTAAAAAAGATTATCCACAAAACTGAATGCTAGACTTGGATGATGTGTTAGGAGTTTTGAGGAAAGGAAGCGTGAAGTCATGCTTAAAGCTTTTTATTGCGCTCTGGGTGTGGCACGCTGTGTTATCGTACAGACACAGAAGGAAGCTAAAGCACACCATGATATTTTCATGTACTCTAAGTGCTTATGCCAACAGATGCTACGTGCAGGCTTCAGATGCATGCACTGGTTTACTTTCTTGTTATAGTAAAGAACTTGGGACAGCTGTACTCTTGCAAATCAAGAAATTAAAAAAACCTATTAGGCCACTACTTGCTGCCACACTTACAGCTGTGGTGCGCACTGAATAGAAGTGCCGTCAGACCTTTGAGGATCCCTAACCTGTAAATATGTAAGTGGACTTTTAAAGACAAGCACGTATGAAGAACATTGGCAGGATTTACAATTTAACTTGTAAATCCTCGCTTGTACAATGAAAACAATATATAATTACTGTAAAGTTATTCAAGTTAAACCTGTACATTGATCTAAGAAATTTCCTGTCGGTTTTTACTTAGGTCGACTAGTAACTAACAAAACTATTCATTTTCAGCTCCTTGTATTTGTTACCTATGTAAATAAGATGTCTGGTTTCTAGCTTTAGATCCTTGTGATGCGATCTTCCAGTCAGCGAGGTCTGCTGTTCTCTACTGTCGCCATATGCTGTTTTTGTTAAATCTGAGCTTTGTCTTTCAGAATTTGCCTATGGTGGTCATCCATACCCTTTTTCTGGAATATTTGAAATTTCACCAGGAAATGCTTCTGAGCTAGGAGAAACATTTAAATTTAAGTAAGAAAGATACCTATTTTCTTGCTTTTGAGAAGGCATATTAAAAAGACAACTCGTTGCATTTATTTTTGAGGACAGATGTTTTGAATGATACTACAGGATACTACAGGACTTTCTGAGAAATTAGTGTGTTGTGTTTACTTAAAAATGAAAGATCGATGGAGGTGATGAGACAGTGAAGTGTCTACAGCGAAGAACATTATTTTTAGCATACCATTACATTCCTTAAATGCGTACAATTATGTGGACCTGTGGCTAGCTTTTGTTATTCATACAGTATATACAAAGGGGTAACTTTTTCAAGGTAGTGAAATTTTTATTCAAAGAAAAAACTGAAAAATGTTGCTCTTCAACGTTGCCCCATGTCTCTTTTCCACTTTCTCAGTGTGATTGCCTTGACCCTTCCCTGCATTACAAACTCTTATCTGTTCTCAGCTGTCTCTTACAAACAATATCCTTTGGAGATGAGGGGAAAATTGCATCTAGTGTTTGTCAGAGTTAAGTTGCAAAGAACTTAAGTGAGCTACAGGTGAACGATCAGCAAGGAAATAATCTCTCATGATAAAGATGAAAGTGGTGCTGTAAAATGGAATAGAAAGAATCTGTATTATTCTAGGAGGGCAGAAGATCTCACCACCCACAGTGGGGTGATTTTTGAGCAGTGTATGAACAGTAATCCACCTATATCATGGAAGCCTGATCACCTTCTACTCTCTCTGTTTCTCTTCTAGAGAGGCTGTGGTTCTAGGCAGTACTGACTTTATGGAAGATGACATAGAAAAAATAGTAGAAGAGCTTGGAAAAGAATTCAAAGGAAATGCTTATCACCTAATGCACAAAAACTGCAATCACTTTTCTTCAGCTTTATCTGAGGTAAACAAACAAACATGAAGGTCTATAGAAATGTGCTTCCCAGGTGGCTACAGTGTCATCTCCTTCCTGTCCTTTGGAATGTTTTGCCTAATTTCCAACTTCATATCTCTGTTACATTGGGCAAATGTCACTGTTTTTCAGGTTTCATTTGTGCTTATGTCCAAAGCACGACATTTTGCTGCCAATAATGCTAAATTTTGTTGTCATACATAGTTTGTGTTCAAGCAGGGTTGCATTCCTAATTGAGAGACTTAATAAATAAAGTATTAACAGGATTTCAAAATCATTTCAGATGCTTCAGAGATCGCTACTGAAGATAGAACCATGTGTTATTTTTATCAGTATTTCCCCACAGAGCCATCACACTGAAAATAACTTTTAAAGTTACGACCTATTGTTAAAGAGTAACAAAGGCATTGAAGTTTCACAGACAACGTTCATCTGCTTGAGAGGCTTTTGTCAAGTTATTGCTCTGCCAGCACCTGCGTCCTGGTCATGTAGATACCTGAGTGGTCATGCGAAGTATCCCACTGTGGAGTTGAATGGGCTTTGCTTCTTCCCCTCAGCTTTATTTTGACATGATCAGTTCACCAATATGATTGAATGCCTGATCACTCACATGTGCATCAACACAAGAGAAAGGGTCAGGAACAAGTAACCCAGGACGAAGAGGGGAATGGCAATTGTGTTTTTTATCGGCAGTTAGCAATCTGTGCTTGTCAGAATTTATTCTAATGTTTCATTGAAGCACGCCAAAAAAGGGATGGCTATTTTTTCTGTGGTGAACTTTCATAAAATTTAAGTCTTCTTTTTTTCAAAATAGTTAATGGCACACTTATTGTATAGCCTGTGTTTTGTGTAGACTGTTTGATCTTCCAGTGGTACTGGAAGATTTTATTGAGATGATGATTCACGTGCAACACTGGGACAAATAAGTAGAGTGAGACACTGACAAAGCTGCGGTTGGTATGAAATCTGGCCTATATGGCCAGGTTTTTGCCATACTCTTCAACCGCATGGTCGTGTTGTTTCTATTTTATGTCTTGTCCTATTTAGTGTGCAGATTGGCTATAAAAACAGGGATATAATTACAAGTTAAATGCTGCTCAATTACAGCAGAGTAATGCTCCTATGAGCTATCATTTTCTCCAGATTTGCACTGGAGTAAGTAATACCAGGAGTGAATATGGAGGTAGTTAAGTAAAATAACTCACTCCTTGAGTAGTGATGACAAAACCATTTAATGACTGATGTACAGTAAAACCAAGTATTTAATGCAGCTTTATATATTTTTGGGGAGTTGAAACCAGCTTTGCATTGTATAGCTTCTCTTGTTCTAGTGAACCGAAGTGTGTGTGCTTGGCCTGTGTGCTGTTAAGACAGTGATGTCTCGTGCAAAGTCATCAGAGGCCGTCACAGTAAATAGTCTCAGCTCTATGTGTAACTCCACGTAACTAGTATTGACACTCTCTTTTTGACGGCTTGATTTCAGGGTGCTTTTTTGTAATAGTGAGATTTCTCCTGCAATTTCTTTCTGAGGAATTAGCGGTGAATAGAAAGCATACCTTAACTCATTTCTGTGCCTTTTATGGAAGTTATTCAGAAAGAGTGAGGTGATTCGGCTTTTCAGGACTCCTCAAAAAAGTGTAGAACCATGTGTCGAACTCTCACAGTGGGAAAACAAGTCTCCTTGTGTGACTTAGGATGCTGCTTTTACTCATGGAGAAAGTTGTCTTAGCGCAGCTAACTTGAATGCTTCTTGACTGGCGTTTGTGACATGTGAATCGTAAGGCTGCTGCAGCCTTTGCTTTTTATTTACAGTACTGTAGTTTTGTTACTGCTGAATCCAGAAGACAAATTAATCCTTTCTTTTCCCTTCCCCGCCTAGATTCTGTGTGGAAAAGAGATTCCACGATGGGTGAATCGCCTTGCCTACTTCAGCTCTTGTATACCATTTCTCCAGAGCTGTCTGCCGAAGGAGTGGCTAACTCCTGCAGCCCTCCAGTCTAGCGTTAGCCAGGAGCTACACGATGAGCTGGAGGAAGCTGAGGATGCAGCAGCATCAGCTTCCTTGGCAAGCTCAGCATCTGGGTCTAGAACTGGACGCCACACCAAATTATAAGTCCTCCTCCAAAGTAACAAATGGTTTGAAATACTTCAGTTCAATCTCTCCAGCAATTGACTTCCTGACAGAACGTGAGAGCTGACTCTAGAACATTGTTTTTATATGCAAAAAAGGCTCTCATCGACCCCTGTTTCAGCTCAGGATTATTTATGTAGTGAAAAGAATTGCTGGGAGAAAAGGGAAGGATTTTGTGTGAAGCCACCCTTTTCATTTTCACCTGTTTGGTAGACCTGGGTTAAACTTAACATCTTGTATAAAGCAGAACTTAAATTATTTGTTTACAGTATTGTGTACTGCTGTTTACAAGTCCTGTAAGGACTCCTGCCATCATGGAAGAAGAGAGAATTTGAGTTTGATTTAACTGTTGGTATAACTCAAAAGCAGTGGTATGATGCCCTGGATGAACTCTCCCCTTTGTTTTCAAGATTTAAGGCAGGTGAACATTCAATTTCTGAGAAATGCCAGAAACTGCTGAATAATATATATGTGAACAGGGTACTGTGCACTTAAAGTGGCTGATGTAAACAGGTAGATTCCAGGATGTAGGGAGACTGGTTTTGTCTAAGATCCTTTACTGAAGTATGACCTCTACATTAATGAAACTGTGGATTTTTGCACATATGAAGGGAAATTTCTGTCTCATTACACTGCACATCGGTCCCTTTTGTTTTGTTTTAACTCAGCCATGTAGTTTGCATCCTATGTTCTGTCTGTATTTACAGTCTACTTCAACCAGGATTTAGACATGTGAATATCATGTTAGAAGCATCAACAAATTTTTCACTGTTTGCTTTACTTGATTTCAAACTTCTATATAAAAGTTAGTACTTGTATTCTTTTTTTGTTTCATATAGTTCGGAATGGTGTAATACAAGCCATTTATCGTTGGGGAATGGCCTTGCTTTCTGCTGCTGATTTTGCTTCATTTGAGTTTGTAAACATTTATGTCCTTTTTTTTGAGCTATAAATTACTGCCCAGTTGTGCATATCTGCACAAATTATAGAGAAATCCTAATTTATTTTCCCACAGTCTCTGTCTGTGGCATTAACTTTCTTGTCAGATGTAATGAAGAAAAACCTGAAAATTGCTTATGCACCTGCGTGTTTACACAGCAGAACCCACTAATCTGCACACATAATTATATCTGGAGGTAAGAGAGATTATTTTCTAAAACACAGAAGTATGTTTGCTGGTAGATTATAATTAGAGCTAAATTATAATTAGTGATCAGAATATATAATGGAATGCCTTATTCTTGTTCACTTACCAAGAGAATTAATGGTTCTTCCGGTCATTAGTGTAAATTAGTGAGGTTCTCTTGTGCACATAAGGATACAGTAGCACAAACATGAGGGAGGTGAGCTTGTGTATTTTGAAAGACTTGCTGCCTTAAACTAACAAAAAACATACCATCCGTAAACTGATCAGCTCACAAAGAAGTGTGCATTACTAGAAGTATAAATGATTCTTACAAGCTTTATTTTCAGTCTGTTGCTGGGTTTAGTTTCTCCATTAAGTGAAATACTGACTCTACAGTTTCTGCTGTTTAAAAGGAAAAAAATCCTCTTGGGAGGCAAGAATGCTTCATGTTACAAATGCTCCTAGCCATGGGTAGTTGGTGCCATTGAACCCTACAGGAAGGTGCAGTAGGCTGTATGGTAGTAAGAATTCTTATGATTGCCAACTCCGACTCATGTTAGAAGAGAGCGGAAGTTCTTCTGCTAGCAGTTGGGTTGAATCCTTTGTCAGACAGTCTTTCAGTTTTCAGTCATCTTTTGTGATGCAGTGTAGGTACAGAGAGAGAGACACTCAGTTCTGGGGGGAAAAAATCAAGTGAGACTCCTTCTGGAAAGAGTGTTACAAATGCTCCTAGCCATGGGTAGTTGGTGCCATTGAACCCTACAGGAAGGTGCAGTAGGCTGTATGGTAGTAAGAATTCTTATGATTGCCAACTCCGACTCATGTTAGAAGAGAGCGGAAGTTCTTCTGCTAGCAGTTGGGTTGAATCCTTTGTCAGACAGTCTTTCAGTTTTCAGTCATCTTTTGTGATGCAGTGTAGGTACAGAGAGAGAGACACTCAGTTCTGGGGGGAAAAAATCAAGTGAGACTCCTTCTGGTAAGAGTGGGATAATAGTAGAAGTCTCTTTAACTGTAGTTTGGTACATGTTTGAATACTCTCTTCTAATACTCTCTTCTGGGAAACGCTTAAAACTGACAAGTCTACCACTAACTACGTTCTCTTTGGTCTCCAGAAGCTGGACATACTGACTGTCCCTGTTGAGTGCTTTTTCACTTGAATCTCTGAATTTGAGTTCTCCTTTTTTTTCCTGTAGTGAAAATGAATATGGTGGTCTCCAGTCAACTCTCAAGCATTACAGAACTAAATCTCACGCTACTTACAGCTAAGACAACAGGCCACAGACAGGTTATTTTGTCTCTGCTGTGCAGCTGTGGTAGTAATGTGACTAAGTCTCTTGGCCAAGGCAGGTCCTTTATTTCAGCTCAGGGTTGAGGCCACTGATCTAGCAATGTACTGTAGCTTTTCCTAGGTTTTAGGAAAAATAAATAGAATGAATTTTCATTGCTACCTAACTTTTATGTACCAAAATCAGCTTTTTAGGCTTCTGATGTATCCAGAGCACTAGGTCACAAATCTCTACACCTTCATTAACACACACAACTACAGCATGTACAATGCAAGAACGTGACAGATCACAGCACAGTTTTTATTTAGAAGTAAAACTAAGACTATTTTTTATAAAGCAGACTGGAAAGTTTGTAACAAAACCATTCGTTTTATCGGTAGCTGTACAGCTGGAAATACTGTCTTATGCTCCATTTTTTGTGTTTGTTTTTGTTTCAAAACCATCCATTTGTAAGTCCTGTGAGGAAACTGACACCTGAACCCTGAAGGCTGTTGGGTATTGTATCAAGGCAAGCGGTACTGTAACTTCAGTCGCGTGCTGTGAACTCAGCCTCCACTGGATGCCTCCAAGAAGTCACCCTGCCAGTGGTTACTCCGATTTGTTAGCAATAGAGCAAGTTACCTTTCACCAGCATTACTGCCAAGCAGGGATTACTTTAGTCTACTAATGACCACACTGTGCTAGGACTAGAACACTCCAAAATGCTGTGAGAAAGCTGGACACCTGTGGAGTCTTTTCCATCAAAATGGGTAGAAAAATATCACTCCTTCAGGGTTCTGCTCTGTTTACTTTCTCATTCTTGTTTAATTTTCTGTAAGATAGTACTTTTGATACGTATTATATTCTTTAACTCAAAGTAATTTTATTTAAATGCCATTTTCTGTTCAGCAAGCCAAAAAAATCCAATGTACTGTCAGTGTGCACCAGTAACTTCAGAGTCGCTTGGTAAAAACATAGTTGCATTACTTCTAAAATTTGCAATGCAATTCTGATCACTATTGATACATGATAATTTTCACTGTTGGAACTTGGTTACAAGCTGAATATTCACTGATGCATTTTTTGTAAACTTGTATTCAAGTTTACTGTACTACATAGTATTTGTATAAAATTCAAAGAATTTTGACTTTTGTTACCTGTACATGGCAACAAGTTGTCTAGCATCTTAAACTTAAATCCATCAGTTTATTAAAAATACTTTTTATAAAAAAAGACAGTTGGCTGCGTGTGTTATTCCCCTGGTACCTACAGCTTGTTTTGTCAGTGCCACCCAAGCTGATCTTTGGTTTTGAAAGAGACGCTTTCAAAGGACAGTAAAATTATCCAAGGGTTTCCTATAGTTAAGCTATAGGCTATATTCTGACATGGGCATCAGGAGCTGCAGTTTGGTTTGTCTGAGGCATTATTAAGAGCCACTAGTTTTTAATAGACTAAATTCAAAATGTTTTCAGATTTGGTCTGCTAACTACAGCTACTGGGGTATAAAACACTTAGGCTGTGCCTGGTATATGTTGCAGATATTATGTGCCATATTCTACAAACTTGCTCAAAAGCCCAGATCTGTAGGCTGGATTTGCACCAGACTGAGCAGCCACGAGGCGCGTGGGGTCTGTAATGCCTGCGCCTTGCCAGTTCCTCTGAGCAGAGCAGAAGGACCGAGACTATGGTAAAGTACCAGCGGCAACACCAGCCGAAGCCACTGCTACCTGTGCTGTGCCTGCTGCTGCAGCGGCAGTGCTGCTGGTGCCACGGCCCAGACTGGAGAAACTCCCCAGGCTGTTTAATTAAAAAGTTGCCAAGCTCCTTCCCTGTCAGGGCAGTTCAGCAGCTAGGTTGCAGCCTGACTGCCTGCGCAGTTCTGTGGGGTGGGGGCACCTCTGCTCAAAGCAGTGGTTGCTCTGGTCAGCAGAACTGGCAGCTCCTTGCAGCCACACTGGCCGTGGGGTGCCATGGGGCAGCTGCACGGTGAGCCAGCCGGCAAAGTGAGTTCCCCAAACATCCCAAGGTCAGGCACAGAGCTGGCAGCAGCCCCTGAGGGTGGGCTCTGCCAGCACCCGGTGGTGCCGGCTCTGGGCTTTGCAAAACACGGATGGGTGCACGTCTTTTAACAGGATAGATGCTTCTCTGCACGTTCAGGGCACTGGTAAATTGGAGCGCTGTCCTGTAGCTGCCAAAGCTGGTGCTGCCCTGCCCCTCTCACCTCCCAGCTGGCAAGGGGATGTGTTTTGCGATTCTGTGCATGCTGAGCCCGCCATCTCCGTGTGCACTGCTGATGAAGATTGGCTAGGACATGACATGCTGGAGAAGCTGCTAAGATACAGGTGTGTTTCCTTTTCCAACTGCTGCTGGACCCTAATCACTAGCAAAGCTGGAAGGGAGTGTGAAGAACTTGTAACCTATTGAAAGGAAACTTGGCAACTTTGACAGGGTTCATCAGTTTAAAACTGAATTCCAGATAAATTCACTTGTGGCATCTGATGGCCAAGAGTGCCTATCCACTTCTAGGAAGGTGATCAATACACAAAAAATATATATTGCATTGTCTGTTAATGGGTGAGTAGCTGAGTTTAACTGAACTGTTCTTGAAGAAAATAGAAATGTTTCAAATGAAATTTCATTTTCTAAAACAGTTTCTACAGACATGCATGGTTTATGTTGCAAATTTGTCATCAGAACGGCTTCTCAATAGGCAATAGCATCTCAATAGCTTTTTTTTATGACTAAAGGCACCTTAGTCATACCATTTCCCCAAAATAAATGTTTTCTTTTACAGTGCTTCATGTAATGCAATGAAAACGGTTATTGGACGGTTCCTGACTTTCTCTGCTACCCCTTGGTTTGATCTAAATCAGATCATAAAAAAACCTTCAACAAACTTTTCAATGTAACAACTTGTGAGGGAAGCCCATGGCATTGCTTTGAGAAAGCAGCTGTACTCCACCAGCAACTCTCACTCCTGCTGGACTAGAGCAGGAATCCTGTATTTTTCACACAGTCTGGTCCACTAAAATTAGTATATTGCAAACTAAACCAGGATCTAGCCATAAAGAAACGCAAGATTCCTGCACTGGTGCAGTTTTAGCTTGCTTTGGGGATGGTAGAAGGCTACACATATCTATGGGTCTCCTTAGAGAGGGATGTTATTCACACCAGACCAGCTCTCCATCCCTGTCCGTCTCTGAGCAGCAGCCCAGGACAAGCAGAGCTAAGGCAGCGCCTACCCTTCTGCAGGTGGAAGATGGGTGGCCAGCAATTCTCACATTCTTTTCAAAGTGGTGTGCCAATCCTGTAATCCTCAAAGCGGAAAGCCTGCTGCACTTGCCGATTACCTGCTGTGCTGCTTCTAGCCCGTGTGGTTGTGTGAAAGGAGAGAAATCGCTGTTAGTGTCCTCTGAATGAAGCCAACAAAGGTGAGAGAGAGGGGCTTCACGTGTGCCCCATGGGGGCTCTTCAAACTAAGCTCATGGGAGCCTTTTTTTTACCTCCTTATCTCCTTTCACCTTTACACAGCCTGAAACAAGGTGCCCAAATACTGGACTTCAAGAAGCCACGACTGTGTTGCTGAACCGTTCCTGCGAGGGCTCACCATAGCTTGGGAAGAGGGTTAGGAAGGGGTTCAAGCCATCTCAGATGAGGAAAGCCTTTCCTCCAGCCGTCATGCTGGCCTCATCTGCCCCAGGCGACTGCAGGGCAGCAGCGTTGGGGGTTCAAACACACCTTTTGTGTGTTTTGGGTCCGGTCCCAGCGTGGCTGCTGGCAGGGCCCATACAGGTCTTCCTTTACAGTGAGATAAATGACATGAATTGGATACCCCCCCCCCCCCCAAACAGGGCACAGGCAAGTTTTTATTGGGCTCTAGCAAAATGTGGCCAACCTCCACAGCCAGCAAGGGATGGGGGGAAGGAGGAGACCCTCTGTTCCCAGTGCACGCCTGAGTGACACGGCAAATGTGGTTTCAGCTGGCTCCCTCACATTTCCCAGGTCTGAACAGTCATTACT